CCTAAGTAGTCTAAATGTTTAAGACGCTTGTGCGAAATACTAGAGATCAGGGTTTGATCTACATTTTATTTTGAAGGGAAAAGATAGGATTTTTATGAAAAAAATGTTGCTTTGGTCAAATATTAATTTCAAATATTTTTAGGGTTAAATGCTTTCTTTTCTTTTTTATTGTGTGTTCACATGTATAGTCCTAGAAACTCTTTGTTTAAAACTTTTTTCTTATATACACTGCTGCCCAATTAAATTGCAGCAATGGCAAAAACTCTTATTGAACTGAAATTTATAAAATGGATAGTGGAATATTATTAAAATGAGCTTTACTTATAAGAAACATACCAAGTTGTACTTCTAAATTCCATATATCATATATCATAAACAATGTTTCATATAAATATCATTTCAATATTGTGTCTTTTTCGATATTGCAATTTAATGGTCATCAGTATATAATGTAAATTTATGCCAAATTGCATTAATATATTTATAATTTTATATATTTGAATACAGGTTCGCAGCAGAGTTGCCAATTTGCGCGATGTGAAGAATCCTAATCTCCGGACGAACTTTTTGGTAGGTGCGATTACGCCCGCTAGGTTAGCGGTAATGACGGCAGAAGAAATGGCAAGTGACGAGATTAAACAACTACGTGAGCAATTCAAAAAAGAGGCCATCAATGACGCACAACTTGCCACTGTGCAGGGAACCAAGACCGATTTGCTCAAATGTGGTAAATGCAAGAAGCGCAATTGCACGTATAACCAGGTGCAAACGCGTTCCGCCGATGAACCGATGACTACTTTTGTGTTGTGTAATGAGTGTGGAAATCGATGGAAGTTCTGCTAAGCTATTGTTTTTTGATCTATACTATGTCGTGACAAAATGTATATTTTAATCAGCTTGAAATCAATATTTATAAGTTGAATTAAACATCATGATGTATATTGCGATTTTTTATTGTCGCATTATAAAAAAGTGAATTCTTTTCTGTTCAATTAATATAATTATATAATTTTCGTATCATTCAAATATCGTTAGCTTTTTTTATCAAAAAATCATGAAATTACTTGCAACTGAATAATTATCGACAAAGATTTTATGACGTATCTGTTATATGTTACACACAAATTTTATAGATTTTTTTTTATTATCAAAAACAAATTTCCTTTTGATCGATATATATATATATATATAGTAACTAAATTACACAGACTATGAACAGCAGAGTGTATGTACATTGTACATTGATTTATAATCATAAAGCATAGTGACATTTCCGAAGAATGTTCCATAGCGTTGTATTTATTGAAACTGCTCAATTAGATCAGAGCTTTGTGAAAATCTGAATGCTTCCCAAAAATGGGAATATCTAATACAGGTTTCATGGGAATTGTTAAAATGAATCAGTATTCATTTTTAAACGAATATGAACTGTATTCATTTTTTAACACAGGACATTTGAATTAAGAAATAGAAAAAATAAAATTTTTTTTAACGCAGGACATTTGACAGTTTGATTTACATAAAAAGTAAAAACAATCGGAAACATTTTTGTCACTTAAATGTTTATACAAATAAATTTTGTCAATCTTAATGATATATATATTTTTTAAAATATTTTTTTTTGTAAAAAAAGATGTTAGTTTTTAAATTCCTGAAATATATATTATTAAGAATTTAGCATTTCGAAAATAAGATTGACGGCATATTTGATGTTTTTCAATTAAATGCAAATATTTCTTCGTCTTTATTTCACATGTGTACTAAAATAAGATTCTTATTGTAAATAATGCAAATATTTCCGCTTATCTTTACTTCCTAAATGAAACAGACAAATATCCTCTAATAAAAAGAAATATTTTTTTCTTATTCCCCGTATACATCTGAAAATGGTGATAGTTGATTAGTTTTAATGACTTCCCATGGAATACACTGTAGATATATATCTTAAGATACAGACATAAACAATTTTACTTGATGCGCTTTTATTCTAATTGCGGTTACTATCATGCTACGCGATTTTGACTGTAATCTATCACTGTAAGTTTTCAATTACTCATATAATAGTATGGTATAAGTAGATTACTTTATCACTGTGCTGAGAAATTCGAATGTCTATAAGCGCTATAATAAATTGTCTCTACAAGTCTATAAGAAATATACAGATACAATATAGTACAATACTACCATTCGATTTTTTAAAATTACCTTTCTATGTAATTCAATAATTACTGTAAGCATATTTGTGAGCTTAAAGGGATGATCCTTAAATGAATTTCAACGAGATCTCTATTTTACTAATAAAATGTGAAACATTAACATATGTATCTTTATATATTATGTATTACGTCAATGGTTGCGTTCAACAAAGTAGACTCAACAGTCGAGTGCCTGAGTGAGCGCTTGTGGTTCTTTCGCTTTAAAACAAGAAAGTCTTGCTTAAAATCAAAGTAACGTTGGTGCAACCGGACCTAAAGGAGGTGTGTTTGAGGAAGCTATTTGTGTCATTCTATTTTTGTTTTAATGATAATAAACGATGAAGTTAGAATGTGCACAAATAGCTTATTTGACGCGTTTCTGCATGAAACGAAAGAATCTGGCAGAAACAAGCATTGCCCCACTGTGCTCCAAGAACCGAGATGTTAACCGATCGGAATTATTCAATTATTCCCTAAATTTTTCTGTGTTTTGTAGGGAAAACGGAATAATTCCGACATGTTCCATAACAGGTATTCCAGTATGTCATTCCCATGGATGCGCTGTCGTTCAAGTAATGGTCGCTCTTGGACCCAACGCAAAAAAGTAGATTTGTACTTAGGCCATGTTTGTATATTGCTACCTAGTTGACCAGTTGATTGCCAGTACTGAAAATAGTTCCTGTTACGTATACTGTATTGTATTGACAACCGGCAGAAATATACGAACACGGCCCTTGTTAACATTCACTTCTGCAAAGGGTGGTAAAAAGCAAAAAAGGCTCTCTCTCTCTCTTTCTCTCATTTTTCCGCTATAATATATGTAACGTATATTGTAGTGTTTCCATAGTTTCACGTATGCGACAGTTTTCAAGAGTAGACCAATAGGGGCCCTGGGTTTCTCTTCACAGGCCCTGCGTTGCGTTGATTGCATTAACGCATTATGAGAGAGCCTGATCTATTGACAGATATTCTAGAGTTGTCAAATGATTCACCCGAGATGGATTTCAGTGTCCACCCGGAAAGACAAAGATTTCCTTTCTGTATCGTTTGGACTCCGTTACCCATCTTAACGTAAGTTATTCTAAATAAATTTTAAATGTGTTCTCACATCATAACCTCGATTCTTCGTATTTGATATTTGTCAGACTAATAATGTTTATTATTATACATTGACAGTAATCGTAAAATGTGAAAATAATTTGTGAAATGCACGAATTTTTCATTAAGTCAAGATTAATCATGTTAAATAAGTTCTGGAGTTTATATAGTTAATATAATTTACTTTATTTTCAAGATACATTCTACCTTTTATTGGACACATGGGCATTGCGACGTCAACAGGAGTAATAAGAGATTTTGCCGGTCCTTATTATGTTTCTGAAGACAACATGGCATTTGGTAAACCTACCAAATATTGGCAGCTTGATTATACCAAAGCCAAAGGAGGCATACAAGGATGGGATGCTGGTGTGGCAGAAGCTAGCGAAATTTATAAAACCAGAATGGTAACGAAATGAGAAGATACAAAAAGCTCTTATGTTGGCGATGCAAAATTAACTTTCTTACAGCATAATTTATGCTGTGATAATTGCCACTCACATGTGGCAAGAGCCTTGAATTTGATGTCGTATGGTAACTCAAACAGTTGGAATATGGTAAAACTTGCATTACTTATGTTACTTCATGGTAAATATGTCAGGTAAAAACAAAATATATATGAAAAAAGAAATATATATGTAATTTCTATTATTAATAATTATTTATATTCATTTCAGTATTCTGGGTTTTCTTAAGACCTGGTTACCTTTCTGCATATTTGTTACAATTGTACTAGTGTTAAGTTTATGTGTATATTAATTTAACTCTATGTATATATTAATTATATACACGCATATATCGCTGTTTTAATAGAAAAGTGAGATATCTCAAAATTAGTAACTTTTCAGTAGAACATGTTTTAATTTCTAAATTGAAAAGTTTTAATTAAGATAATGTGTAACTTCATTTTTCATCATGTTACCATACTTTCAATTATACATATACTTCTATTATACTTTCAATTATATGTATTTAAAATTATGTCAGGATTTTTTGTAAATTCGAATACTGCACTCTAAACAAATTTTTTACTTGTCACTTTTTTTATCAAAGCAGCTATATATATAATCAATTTATAATTATAGATTTAACATGTCAATATAATATAATTCTATATTTAAGATATATAACCTTTTCTCTAAATATCCTACGAGAATTTAACAAAAATAAAAACATCTTTATATATAAATATAGTTTTTCTGAAATAGCAGTTTTTTTATTACAGCTTCAGGTAGATATTAGTTATAAAAAATTTCGTCCAGGAAACTTTTGAAGGGAACCATGTTCTTAGTAAATATAACATCTATCTACATTTGTCGCATGTAAATATAATTTATTTAATTTTTACAACTTAAAATACACATATACATTAACTATGTAAGCGTTATGTAGTAAAATTAAGTCTAAAATATATGGCTATATCTGGCATCTATATATGGCTCCTCATAACATTATATCGTGTATGCTTAAAAAATTAATTTTTACTATTTTACATTTTCTTTTATACGCGACTATATAATCAATACAACTGTCTTCTTTTTAGAGCATTTCTTTTAATAAAACATGTAAAATAAAATATAGGCTTTAATTACATGTGTAATATTGTAGTAATAATGGCAATGATACTTTTCCTAAAGTGCAACTTACATATAAAATATGTAAAAAATAAATTTTAATTAGATATTCTTTTTTGTGATTCAAGTCTGCAAGCTAATTTTCTTCTTAAAAATTAAATATTCGTGTATTAATTATTCTTGTAACTATTTAAAATGTCACGTTTCTATTTGTTCTTATATGAAAAATAGGAACGTTTTCGAAAAAATGGCCTGTATAGAATAGAAAGATCAAATTTAACTGCTACATTTTCTATAGCAGTAATACACAACCTTTTTTTAAGGGCCACCTTCAAAGGAACATTTTCATGTGTTTATTTCGTTTGCATAAAATAGAAAATGATTTTATATTTTTGGTTGTGAATCAGAGGATCACAAATAGGCCGCAGGTTGCGCATCACTGTACTATAGCATTATTATACTATGCGATATTTGCTTTTTTAAAATGAATTTTATTACATGTGTATATAATTAAAAGATACATATGTATACATCTAATAGCATTTTTGACCGAGTGAGTTTATACCTGGGTTGGATTAATACTCTACTATTGACGTATATTCTACTCGATCTGCCACAACTCGCCGGCTCGCGTAAAGTAGCCACGGTAGTATCACTGCGCGTAGTTTAGTGCCGAGGCACTACCAGTGTCTCCAGACCAATAGGAGAACAATCATTAATCCAACCCAACTCAGTGCAATCATTAATCCAACCCAAGTCAGTGCAAACCCTTATGGATTATAAGTTTGATTTGTAGAATTTACATTTTTGTTACGTATGTAAAAATAAGACTCAAAAAAGTTTCAAGTCAGTCGGTAGTTCTACTATCCATTTCTGTAATAACTCCAGTTTCAAGAGAGAAATCATAATTGTAATTCTGATTCTCTAATCTTTCAATGAAAGACATTATTTCGCTAATTCGTAGACTGTCTATCTCCAAATCACTATTCATGTTACTTTGCAACTGTTTGCACAACTTAAATGGTACATCACTTAGATAATGTGGAGCGTCAAATTGTTGAGTCAGTTTTGGTAAATTACCATCTGATATTGTAGGGTTCATTGCCGTTCCATCGATAAATGGATATAATCTATTAGGATAAGGAGTATTGTGGTCACCAACATTAGGTGGCAAGGAGGGCCTTCTTCTTTCAATTATTATGAATTCATCCCCTAGATCTGTGGAAGGTCGTTCCTCTTGCTCATCCCTTTCAGGAGGTGAATCCTTGTGCTTCTTTTTGCCAAAGAGCCAAGACATTTTCTGTAAAATAATTTGACTTAAAAATTTGTTCTAATTCTTTGTTGTAAATAGATAATTGGGTAATTACAAAAAAACTTACACAGCTCGGATGACCTTAACCTCAAGATCATGACCTCCACAACATATGTTAAAGTCAAGGTCATCTGAGCTGTGTAAGTTTTTGTGAAGAATTGAACAAGTATAAATTAACTTATTATGCAGATTAATCTATTAGAGAAAGAACAACATAAATATAAATAAAGCTCTATGTGTTGATAAAACATCAATATATAAACCTTTATTTATAACATACTACTATAGAACTGTAAGCACTTCTGAAATACTGTCTGCAAAAATCATTTTTAACTTTTACAAGCGGGATGTTTTTCGTCAATCTAAACTGTAACTTTTAAGTTTACTAATGTCCGTTTCCGCCAAAGTAGATTAAATTTAATCTCAGTTCAATTTACTCTTCGTCTTTTCAATTCTAAAGATTAGAAAAGGACGAAGAGTAAGTTGAACCGAAATTAAAGTTAATCTACGTTGGTGGAAATGGGCATAAGGCAAAGATTCTTCTTCGCGAGAGAATAGCCCCAACTCCTATCACAGAGTCGCTATGGCCAGAATCGAAATAGCTGCCCTATGCGACAAGTAATAAAAACTAATTAAAGAGCAGGGTTGGCAAACATTACTTTTCAGTTATTTTGCCATTAGTTGTTATAATAAATAATTTGATGACAATGTTGCAATTTTTTGTGACGGTAACGTTAATTAACTAAACACTAAGGTTGTACTTAAGTTAGAAGAGTCACTTTGAAAAATAACTCGTCATCAATACGCATTATTTACTAAAAAAGAAATTAATAATTATTACAAGTAACAAGTAAAAAATAACGCGTTACAAATTAGGAGTTTCTTTTTTTTCAGTAACAAATGACTTTTTCAATCTGTTACAAGTAACGATTGACTTTTCTAACTCTGATGTTACCATTACCGTCATAAAAAATTCACAATGTCATTATAAAATCGTTATTACAACAAAGCACCGATCAATAAAGTAACGCATTATTTATCAGCCCTGTTAAAGAGTAACGTAAAAACTTTAGTGAAAACGATTATGAGTAACGTAAAATTAAATGCGCGTTTAAAGCCGATCACACTTTCCAAAAATATAACAATGATGCAACACTCGTTGCTGCTTGCGATGAATTCTGGCAGATATTGCCTTACAAAAATTTTTCAGGACGACTGTTACCAACACCGATTAACTTAATCGACGATTAACTCAATCAGCAGAATCACTATTATAGGTAGGAAATTTTCATTACTTTTATCACAGTTAAGTATAGGAACGCAGAGATAGAAATATATCACGAAGAGATGAGGTTAAGAACGATATACAGTCTTGCTGTTGACTTAACTACACTACTGATCGTGTTAATTGTCGATTAAGTTAATCGGCGTTGATAATAGTCGCCCTCAGTTTTTAAAAGATTAAACAAGCTCGAGCTACATAATTGTAGTAGACAAAAATTGCGAATTGTTATAAAATGTATGTAAGGGAAAACTGCAGGATTTACTTACAGGCAGGTTAAAAAGAAAGCGCACTTGTCACACTCAATAAATGGCCCATACCATATAGATCTGCTTTTTTATTACTGCACTAAACTGCACCAGAATTCTCTTTCTTGTGTTTTCGCCAAGTATTAAACATATACCTATCTCACTTTAAATTCCAAAAGTGCATTAGTTCAGCCCAGTTCAGTCACAAAGAACAGACAATGATGTTTACTTAAGAATTCGTTTTGTTCTCTCGGGAGCTGCTCGGGATTGCCCCGAACGAACTCAACTTGAAATCACTTATTAGAAATGTAGGATTCACATACGCCATCCGTCATACGACGTCAGACATGTATATACATATATATATATATATATATATGTAATTTTATTAGTAATTAGATAGTAATTTTATTACAAATGTATAAACTCTTATCGACGCAATAAAATGTGATTGTACAAGTTCTAAATCTATTAAGCAAATATCTGTACATATATGTGTGCTTATGTGTTTGTTATATGTATAGATGTTTGCTTAATAGATTTTAGAACTTGTACAATCACATTTTATTGCGTTGATAAGTTTATATATTTGTAATAAAATTACTATCTAAATAAGTATATATGAGAAATATAGGGTACTTTCCGATATTCACTGCCAGTGCTGAAACTATACAGTATACGTTACGTGTGCTATAGATTTTCAGTACTGGCAGTGGAAATCGGAATGCACCCATAGTCGTGGGCTGTGTTCATACCCTGGGGCTCTATTCTTGAAAAGAAACGTATACGAAAGTCTAGGGAAATACTACAGTATACGTATACTATAGCATTTCCCTAGACTTTCGTATACGTTCTTTTCAACAAGAATAGAGCCCTAGGTGGGAATTCGAACGCAGCCCTGTATGGCCAATTGTAGGGACTTCGAGACGAAACAGCTGATTGCTCTCGATCGCACTGTCGCCACTGTACGATCAATGGCATCGTCCTCGCCCCTCGATAGTCAGTCAGTAAGTCTTGGTATTCCTTGTCACTTTCGGTACTTGTGGTACTTGGTAATGATTAGTGATCATCATTGAATTCATCACTATCGTTAGTGATGGTTGCGAGAACGCAGTAAGGATTAGGCGATTTTCGATTATCGCCAACTGACATTTCAACAGGTTGTCAGCGGTACTCGATTGACTCGCGGTAATTATTTCCCTGCCTAGTTTCATATCCATGTGATTATTATCAGTTTCTCGAAGTTATATACATAGTATATTCATATCTTATCGTCAGCAGCAACCTTGTGACTTGTGACATTTTACCGTGATGTAGGAGACGCTTCTAATCGCTCTCAATCAACTCCCTTCGCGAGTTTAATGATTTCGAATAAATTCAATAAATCTGATTTCATGTTTATCAGCTCGTCACGTCAAATGCATTCCGTGATCTCACTTCAATTTGTTTCACCTCACCAGTTTTGCGTTTGACGCATCGCGTCAGGTAGTCGTAATTGTCAAGTCTGTCATTGTATTGCGCGATTATCTTTGCTCGTTTGATATCAAAATATTGCAATTGTGTATTTCAGCTCGGAATGTAATTTACTCCTGGAAATTATCTTTCCCACTTTGGACATTATTCTGATTGATAACCCAGAGATATGTGACTGACAGTGGACCTGTTCTTTTTGGCTGAACTTTTACACCAGTTCATCTTTCTTCCTTTTCTCTCTAGGAGGAAAGAAGAGGAAGAAAGATGAACTGGTGCAAAAGTTCAACCAAAAAGAACAGGCCTAGTATTTACTTTGAAACAATTGCTCTGACATATAATTTTCCAAGCCAACTCTTTCTCATTGAATTGTATATTTACTTTCTAGTTTGTGACAAAGTTATGTTTTGGTTAGTTTGGTTGATCTCAGAAACATTAGCATTGAGCAATAAAATATAGATTTTATTTATTGCATTATAGTAATTATTTTCAGATTGTCTGCAAAGATGACCGCAGGAACCAGTTTAGTTGTGCCCATAGTGCTATGGGGACGCATAGCACCAACCCATTGTATTTCTTGTGTCTACTTGTCTCGGGATCAAAAGACTTTGGTAACAGGATGTTATGATGGACAAATATGTCTGTGGCAAGTGGATCCAGAAACATTAAAGGTATATACAGAATAGATAATAAAGTTGCAGAAAGCTTAATCTTTCATTCATTATTGATTTGTTAAAATGGTTTTTAATATAGATGACTCCGAGATGCCTGCTGGTTGGACATACTGCTCCAATAATGTGTCTCAGTCGAGCTAGTGTCGTAATGGAACAAAATTTCATCGTCAGCAGCAGCGAAAGTGGAGAAATGTGCACTTGGGATCTAGTCGATGGAAAGTGTCGTGAGGCAGTGAAGCTTAACAGCGTTCATACACAAATGTTGCCCTATGTTTCCGCAGGTGGAGAGGACGTCAGATTATTTTGCTCTGGGTAGAAATAACATTAGTAATATATATGTTACAATATTAATATTGCATTTATCAAGAATACATGTATATATATATATACATTTTTTTTCATTTTAGATACTATCCCGAGGTTTTAGTGATGGACCCATTCAGTTTGGAAGTGCTGTTTACCCTGAGTTCCCGCGTCAATCCAGACTGGATTAGCGCCTTGCACGTTTTGCGGCCGGCCAAACGGAAAGGTCGGTTCTACGTGCATACAAGTTAGTTACACTCCATCACACCTACGCTTTATACCATCAACAGCTACCTTCTTCAATTTCACTGCCAACAGATACTGTATAAAGAGGAATCGCAATGTAGCTTGAATTACAAATTTATCTTTAAAGTTTAGCGCGAGAATTTGGTTTGAGTCTTTTATCTATTGCTATATCTAAAACTATTTTCTTTCTATTTCTAATAAGTTTTATATATAGTCAGTACTCAATATTTTTACATAAATAAAAATTCAGTAATACGCGAAACAGTATCTCTTGGTGTTTCATTATTTTGTAAACTTATGTGATTCTTTTTAAAATTTTAAAGAACTTGAAGTAAAGAACTGTGGATATACTTAGCGGTAAAGTTTCTCCTTTTCGATTGTGTCTTCAATTGATTTTTGTGTCTGATTTGAACGAAATTAAGTTGGATAATAGTTCTTATAATGATTAATGATTATACTAGTATGATTTGAAAGCAACTAACGGTATTTGAGGCACTTGTACAAATGTTTCTTTTGTACTTAGGATTTTCTCAAGATTTTCTTAGGATAATCTACTATTTTACCATTCTTTTATTAAGCAATTAACCTGAAGAAGCTTTATGTTTTGGATATAAATAGGAATTGTTTCTTTTTTCATCAATATGTCGAGCTATTTTTTTTATTTTTTTATAATCTATTACTCAATTTTACGCGCGCGAGTAAAGTCATTTATATTGTATCTAGTTTGATAGTAGCAGTTTTATATATCTAATATTTTTGGATTGATTACTTAATAACAGTTACATTGTTGCAGCATGTTAATGAAACCGGACACATATGTCGGCGCTAATGCGTTGGCAGTTGAGGCTGTATCACTTCTTTCTTTAATTTTTTTTCTTTACTTAATCATGGTTCACACATCTCTTTGCACATTATCAAACAATATAATCATTAGTACTAACCTAACCTAACTCGTTTCATTTCTTTTCTTTTTATATTAATATAGTATCCATGAAACTATCCTGCTACTCATATATGAATGTCATCTATATTTATGCACATTGCATTTCATTACACTTTCATAACACTTTCACCTGGTGTACTATGTTTCTATCTCTATTCGTAAGTATATATATATGTGTGTGTGTGTATGTATGTATGTATGTGTGTTGCGTGTGTGCGTGCGTGTATGTGTGTGTATGTACATATATATATGTGTGTATTATAAATATATATATGTATGTATGTAATATTATAATATAATCTATACACTCGTGCAACATTTAAGTTGCACGCTCTATGTTATTGATAAATTTAATATCCCGTACCATTGCGTCAATTAAAAACATATAATTAATATTTTAAATCATATTGAATACTTCAAACTAAACAAAAAAATTATTTAATAATTGAAGAATATTTTTTCTATTCCTTTTTATAATTTATAAGATTGTAATTTATAAGTTTTGGATGAAATGCTAGTGTTTTTACAGCTTTAAATGTAATTCGCCCTAAAATTAATTTCTAATTTTTATAGTACTATTTATATTTATAGTAGTTATGCTAGAATGTTAATTGATAGCCAACATTTTCTTATTAATTGTATGTTGACTCATAAAATTTATCATTATACGCATAAAGTTAGACTAATCGCAAACAAAGACCTTGAAGTAAATATTAAGGATAGGACGAACAGTTCGCGAAAAATGCAAATATCAATATTCATTAAACGTAATTGTACATATTAATACTCTTTTAATCACTAAAATAAGATTTCGCTTAGTCAAGTCAAATAAATCAAATACACATAATTTTTCTGCATAACTGAAATTAAGCATGATTTCGCTGTAATTTAATGCGTATCGCTTTCTACTCCATAAAAACATCTAGCATGCACGCGTAATACGCTATACGTATACAGAATTATTATCGCTTCACGAATATCATATTGTATACCTATTTGTAGAATAACGCTATCTTTAATCACCTGTGACACTACTTTAGCTGCTTTATTCACAATCTGACAAATATTTATTTGTAAATTAATTAAATTGATTAATTGAAGCTGGCAAATTTTTTATTATTAGCGAACAACAAAACTGTTTGAATTCCTAACGAAACATTCTATCGCTTAAATTGCTACAATGCTCTCCTAGATTTATTTAACGCGCAACAGGCGCTTCCATTCGTTTAAAGACGACGTCGTGTTGGCTCTGACGACAACAGGCACAGTCAAGGTGTGGACGCTTTTGGGACATGAAAATCGAAACAGCGAGCCTTTATACGAGCATGAAAGCAAACAGATCCGCTGCTTGAATGCACTTGCGATGACTTGCTGCCCCTATAATCAGAGAACAGTGCTGATTGTATGCTCTAAGTATTGGCAGGTAATTACTATTGTACTTACCATCAAATATATAATTCGACAGTTTTTATTATAAAAATTAGATTAGAGATTACATCAAATCAGATTAAATAATTTCAAGAATAGAATTTCAGCATCAAGACGTTTTTTAAAATGTTTTATGTTAATTGGCATCTGTAATGTAATCAAAAGCTGCCTTAATACTGCAATATATATCATTGGAATAATTTTATAGATATTTGATGCCGGTGATTTCTCGGTTCTTTGCTCGATAACTGCCCCACGTGGAGAACGTTGGAT